GGAGAGAGATCAAAATCAGTAATTCTTCATTACTGGAGAGAGATCAAAATCAGTAATTCTTCATTACTGGAGAGAGATCAAAATCAGTAATTCTTCATTACTGAAGAGAGATCAAAATCAGTAATTCAGCATTGCTGGAGAGAGATCAAAATCAGTAATTCTTCATTACTGGAGAGAGATCAAAATCAGTAATTCAGCATTACCGTAGAGAGATCAAAATCAATAATTCTTCATTACTGGAGAGAGATCAAAATCGCTAATTCATCACTACTGAAGAGAGATCAAAATCGCTAATTCAGCATTACTGGAGAGAGATCAAAAGCATTGCCAGGAAGTGGTTACTTGTAGGAAACCAGGTTCGCCCTATGATCAATACTTTCAGGAAACCAATGCACCAGTTCAAGGAACATAAGTGATGGTTTGGACTCCTACCACAGTCATCAGGTTTAAATATCATCAAATTATCTAAACTCTATAGTTAGCAGTTGACATCAATTTACAAAATAAACTTCAACCACCGTTCACTTCAACAATTTCAAGAAGCTCTGATCGACGAATATCACAACACGTTGCTTTATCCGTCCTATTGATATAATATAAATATAATGTAAAAATTAATATACGATCCCTTTACTTTATTCAACCCCTGTTTAGATAATACCCCGCAGAGGCACAGCGGTATGTCTGCGGACTTACAACGCTAGAATCTGGGTTATGATACCCGTGGTGGGCAGGGCACAGTTAACCCATTGTGCAGCTTTGTGTTTAACTTAAAAAAATACATACAGCTGCTCTTGTGAAAACATAAAGTTTCTTAACATTTACTTATATATATATTTACTTTGATTGTTAACTATAAAGGCTTAGCACCGAGACATATCAGTTTAGATATTAAAAATAAAGACATCTCAAAGTTCGACCGTATGAGTTTTTGTGACTTTTAATATGTCATATTGTTTGTAGTATATTTATGTGTGTATTTACACTACTACGGTTAAAAGTGCTTCTTTAACTTGCTGCCCGTTATATTATCATATTAGAATCGTTACAAAATACGTGTTTATTTTCCAAGTTTAGACAATTCTTATATTACTCTTCGTAAAATATAGTTGTATGTTTTTCACTTACCGAAGAAAACAGTTACGTTCGTTTTCTTCATAGGCACGATATTGTGGTATAATTGAGAAGCACTAAAGTTTTCAGACAAACCTGCTTTCAAGTATAAATTGTTTGACTTTATTCGAAAGAGATATACCATTCTTAAAAGGATTTGTAGTAATATACAAGTCTAATTGCTTTATTTAGCTGTGGCGATACATAGATTTAACGAGTAGTCGTATTTCGAATATAATCCAAAAATAAAAGAATGTTCACCAGAAAAGACTTAGATAATTGTAAACAGCCTGTGCGTTTTTCAAGTCAATGCTTAAGGTCACAGAGTGACTTTATCTTGATCGTGTATAAAAGACAAACCCTAAATCAAGAATTAGACCCAACGCTATTACTTCAATTTCTAGTTTAACAAAAATATTTCCCTTTATCTCCCAATCTGTGGGTCGTGGGTTCGAATCCCCGTCGCACCAAACATGCTCGCCCTTTCAGCCGTGGGGGGGGGGTTATAATGTGACGGTAAATCCCACTATTCGTTGGTAAAAGAGTAGCCCAAGAGTTGGCGGTTGGTGGTGATGACTAGCTGTCTTTCCTCTTGTCTTATACTGCTAAATTAGGGACGGCTAGCGCAGATAGTCCCCGTGTAGCTTTGCGCAAAATCCAAAACAAATAAACAGACATTTCCTTTGTCATTTGATCAACCTAAGACACTCAGCTACTTGAAGAAATTAGTGCAAATTTAGGTAACATTATTGACTCGTGGATGATTTCAGCAAAAACTATCATGGTTCTCATTTTACATGCCAACAAATGATGAAAAATGTTCATAAAAATTGAACATCGTGGAAATGTTAAAACAAAAAAATATAAAAGTTACATAACTAAAACATTTCACGTTAACTTACAAGAAAAGGTGAGATTTAAAATACAACAACATGTTGCATAGATTCTAGTTTGAAGGTATTAACGAATCCGTTTAACAGTTGATTGATTTTTAGAATCGGTTGGCTGGTTATTGATACAATGCATTACACCCTGAAGACGTCTACTACGAAGTTACGTTTGGCTACACCTCCATTTATAATGAATATGTATATATATCAAACAGTTTAATAGGTCGTCAAAGTTTATAATAGTTTCTAACTTAAGTTTAAAAAAAAAGGCTTAGGTTTTTCCTTGTAATGAACTTGAGCATTGGCTAAAATAACGAAACGTCGAGGTTTAAAACAAGCATCACTGGAAAGTTTGGGGACTTGTATATAATGGAATTATCCATCCTTTAAGTAATTTATGAGAAGTATCAAGGAAGCATTACAAGAAAAATGATTTATGAACAAAAATAGGCAACGCAAGAGAAGAAAAAATAAAGTTCCTTAAAAGTACATTGAATAAAGTCTTGTTGCTAATCGCTGTTTCCGAGTTAGTTATCGTCTTGAAGGTAATTGGTAATTAATCTGGTTAGTGCACCTGACTGGCAGAACATCCCGCCTTTTTAGTTTTTGTACTGGATTTAATTGGCTAGACTTCATCCCCACTAATTGACGCTGAGGAAAACTTCGAACCTCAAAATGGCTTCACTAATACAGAGAGCTTATGTGCATGCATTAGTTTAACCATAATTGGCACTACATTCCAATTTATAAAAAGGACAACAAAAATATCAAAAAGTAGTTTCAACATCTCGTGATGGCATATAGAATTAAGACACGAGACTTTTTTGTTACAACACACCGACTTTAAAAACCAATAAAAAACTCTTTTTTCACTTTAAATTTGCCTGGTTTCGGATATTCGCGCAATATTACTCAAAGGCTGTCTGCGTTAGTAGTCTCTAATTCTGAACTGATAGAATATAAGCAGGGTAGCTAGCTAGTCAACAGCACCCACCGCAAACTATAGTGTTACGCTTATCTTTCCGAATAGTGGGATCTGCACGTCACCCACAAACACAGCCCCGGATGTTAAGCTGGGTCACGGCCCTTTAATCTAAATAAAAATACAGTAAAGTACATGTCAAGTAATAACAAATTTATTAAACATATTGTTACTCATATTTGAATTGCTCTAATTTTCATTATGTTTCTTTACACTTACCGTTCATGGTGGTATAGGCATAGCGCACTAATTCTGATAATTTACCATACAGTTGGGATTGACGGCGTGGCTGGTCTGGTGGTTAGGGGGCCCGACTCGCAATCTACGGGTCACGGGTTTGAATCCCGTCACACCAAATATGCTCGCCCTTTCAGCCGTGGCTATAAAGTGACGGTCAATCCCACTATTCGTTGGTGAGGTGAAGGTGGAAGGTGATGACTAGCTGCCTTCCCTCTAGTCTTACACTGCTAAATTAGGGACGGCTAGCGCAGACAGCCCTGTTGTAGCTTGGCGCGAAATTCAAAACAAACCTAACCCAGGATCGAAACTAGTCCTTTCACGTTAACAACCAAAACGTAGGACAAAAATTTGTTATTAATTAATGTCTAGATACATATAAAATAATTGTTACTAATTATAACTAGAGTTAGATGACTGTACAAGTCACTAAGCATGATAACGTCAAAATCATCACGATCACTTTCCTACTATTGGTCATTTTCAACACACTTACCATACTAACTATTGTCAAGGTTTTCAACACACTTACCATACTAACTATTGTCAAGGTTTTCAACACACTTACCATACTAACTATTGTCAAGGTTTTCAACACACTTACCATACTAACTATTGTCAAGGTTTTCAACACACTTACCATACTAACTATTGTCAAGGTTTTCAACACACTTACCATACTAACTATTGTCAAGGTTTTCAACACACTTACCATACTAACTATTGTCAAGGTTTTCAACACACTTACCATACTAACTATTGTCAAGGTTTTCAACACACTTACCATACTAACTATTGTCAGGGTATATTTGTCCAGTCCAGGCCACTTCAAGTTAGCTATTTCTTTTCCAGATCTATGAGTAAAAAGGAATAAAAAAATTGTAAAGTCATTTAAATCAATTATTCTGACTAAAGTATTATTTTTTCTCTATTTTCTCAACTCTACAAAAATTAATACCACTCTGGCATACTGGCCACAATAATTAAAGGAAGGTCATTTATTGTACACTCTAACTACAAGGCACAATAACTCTCATGAAATAATTCTAATGGCATCTCTGAGCTACTTTTTAAGACGTTACGTAATTTGGCATGTACTTTTTAAATTAAAGGAAGGTCATTTATTTTACACTCTAACAACAAGGCACAATAACTCTCATGAAATAATTCTAATGGCATCTCTGAGCTACTTTTTAATACGTTACGTAATTTGGCATGCACTTTTTAAATTGTATAGAAAAGAGAAGGAAATATGATGTGATTTCATTAAACAATTTGAACAATAGTAAAGTGAATAAAAGAGATCCAGATTTGTAATGAACATGCCAAGACCCCCCTCCCCAACCCCTCAGACATTAGGACATTTCCATGAGCAGTTGACGGCAGTAGGTAGGCTAGAAGCTGGTCAAACACAGCCATTGCAGGATTACCAAAAGACAAGTCTCACAAAGTTTGGTTAGCAGGATCTGGACACAATTCATCAGATAGTCAATACCCCCGAAATAAGGCCGTTATTTGATAATAATGACTCAAAGCAACTGACAAACTTTAGCTTCTCAACAAATCGAAAAGAGAAAGAATACTTAAATACTCTACTGAATGCATGATAATCCTCCTGAAAAGATTAGCAGTTCACTTATTGTTTACTGTAATAAAGAGATAATTTCTCTAAATATTTTAACGATACTTGAAACCTGCTTGAATTAACGTGACAGTCTGTTTTCCTTTAAATTTATAATTTATTTTCTGATATCAGTAAGACGAATATAAATTTGCAGTAAATTATTAGTGGGTTAACAATAAGTTTACAGACGTAACATTTTCATGATTGCATAACCAGCATTGCCTTGCAGGGTAACTTCATTTAAAGGAAAAAAGGAACTCAAAGAATTAAAGGGGAAAAGAATACTTATTATATATGCATAGTATAGCATTAAGTTGTTTTATGAAATCCTGTTCCTTATTCAGTTAAAAAATACAGCTGTTTTACCACTGTTAACAGTTTTGTTAACAGTAATCGCCTTTTCATAAATAGAATAAAGATCTTTCTCATTATCCTTTAATTATTATGAGCAGTGTAATATTGGTTAACCAGTGTTATGAGTATCCTTGAAATAAATTATCAAAGCTTTGAACTGGGGAGTTTTGTAGATATTTCTACAGCTGTGTTCAAACACAAATATCAACAAATGTGACATACTGAAGACTGAATAACCATCTAATGAGTTCTAGAACTTATTACAGGAACAGAAATATTTATTAGAAAACGTACAGAACCTGTAATATGACTACTGAACATGTCAAACAGAGATAGCTATAAGTGAATATCACGAAAACTAGTCAGTAATAATATTATTATTTGGTAACAATTTGCATAAAATTATTCGAAATACTTCAGTTTTAGACGTTTTTCTTTAACAATGCCACGTGCTTGATTAAACAGTGTTAATAAAATATGTTACTAACTATCTATTAAAGTTATTTAACTTTATGCTAAACCAAATACAATTCGTTTTCTTACTTATTAAAACTTAGTTTTCAAACAACTTTAATATGTCACAGGATCAAAACTTACTAAAATATAGGTTCATTCCACTTGTGTTTTTAATTCTATTTGTAATCAGTTTTTTTCCTTTAATGAAAATTAGATTGTAAAACTTGAAATAAACTTCTATATGGTTGAATGAAAGTTATTACGTAAAAATGTCTTTTCTTGCACCTGTGATGAGTAGAAAACATATTTCAAAGTTACTACAAAATTAGGAAGATTTTTCAAATTTGAAAGTGCTGAGCAAAGTGAAGCACCAACGAAAAAAAGAGTTTTTGGAATGCTGTAGATAGTGCTGTCAACCTACAGCTACTTGTAAATACCCATCGATCCAACATAGGTCGATGGTTTCCACGGTAGTCTTTCACGTGCCGTCTCGGGCGTTTCCTAGACAACGGTTTCTCCTGGAGACTTGGGACAAGAAACCAAAATTCCTACATTGTGACTTAGTGTCTTTAATATAATAAGATCGTCTTCAGGGTTTATAAAGAGCCACAGCTATTAAACAGTAATTCAGTAGTATATTTGTATGTACATAGAAATCTTGCCTAAGTAAATTTAATCAATTTTACGTCGATTCAAATTAATTGGTGCACAATACGAAAATAAAAAAATGGTAAAACAGTACACAAAACAATATAGGTGGCATGATATAGACACTTGAAGAATTAACGTCGAAACAAGCTATACTATAACAATAAACATTTTACAGTTCATTAAAAGTGAACCTAAACATATATATATATATATTAAAACAATAAAACTTGTACAACTATTTAAAGAGTGAACCTTCTGGTAAACAATTCTGTAACAATAAACCTTGCACATACGATGTAACAATAAACGTCTCTTAAACAATACAGGACCAATAAACTATGAAAGAATACTTGAAAATGAGCCTTGATATTAGTACAATAAAGTTTATACAGATTATTGAATCTTGAGCATCAAAACGTGACAATCTTGAGACTTAAAAAAATCATCCAACAAGTGAATCTTATTAAAGTGATTGGTGAACAACCTAGAAACACAAAAATACTGCAACAACTTACCCAGTCGAAATCAAACATAATAAAACAGGAGAATTAACTTAATTACCAGTAGGAGAAATAATACCAGATAAATAAACTAGTGGAAAAATAGATCTTGTATGAATACTTGAAGAGAGGACCTTGAAAGACTACAATAAAATATATTAAACATATGTAAGTGAAGATAACAACAAAGATAATAACTTGAAAAAAGAATTAAATAATAGCAAAAGTACAATGGAAATAAAAACGACCAGTTCATAGAAAGTGAAGACAGGAAAAATTAGTATTTAATTGAAGACAAGAATTAGGCTGTGATAACAAATAATTAAAATACAACAATGGAATTCGGGTCGATCAACCAGATTTAAAAAATATAACATTATAAATGGAAACTAACAGAAATCAAGAAATGAATCCCAAATTAAAAGTTGACTGCGGAGTTTTTATTGGAGAACTTTGAAAGCAAGATACTTCAGAAGGTTAACCTGAAAGGCGAATTTAATTACTATAACTTTTAGTAACGAATACCGAAACAGTGTTATCTTTCAATTTGTAGTGCATACTGGAGGGATTTACACATTGTGATAAAAGTTTAGATAAATGACCTTAACACTCCAGATGTAAATATATTAGTTTTTTTTTTATTACTGCCAACGTTTCGCTTTTACGTTGGTAGTAATACAAAACAAATCTATATATACAGCTGGAGTGTAAAGGTCGTTTCTCTAAACTTTTATCACAATTAGAACAATGTTAACCTCAATCGAGATGAAATCTACTGTATTATGCAACAAAAAACTAATACCATAACATCAGTACAAACAGAACATAACCCATAGACACAAAGGGCATTACTTTATGGTATAACAAAAACCAATACCATAACATCAATACAACCAGAACATAATTATGTTCTGGTTGTATTGATGTTATGGTATTAGTTTTTGTTATACCATAAAGTAATGCCCTTTGTGTCTATAGGTTATGTTCTGGTTGTATTGATGTTATGGTATTAGTTTTTGTTATACCCTAACGTAATGCCCTTTGTGTCTATGGGTTATGTTCTGGTTGTACTGATGTTATGGTATTAGTTTTTGTTATACCCTAACGTAATGCCCTTTGTTCTATGGGCACATAGACACAAAGGACATTACGTTAGGGTATAACAAAAACTGATACACAAGAATAATAATCGGTTACTTCCTGCGTAACGATGTCTATCATGATATAACGAGAAATCAAACCATAGACAAAAAAGGCATTTACGTTATGGTACAAAAACAGCTACTCGAAGCATCAAAATATATATATATGGTACAATTATACGGATTGATGTACATTATATTAAAACCTATTTAAAGTCATAGTGAAATATCATGTATCAGAATATATTAGGTCGTCAAGAAATTTATGTCGCGTTTTGGAATACTTTCATTACCCCCCCCCCCCAAAAAAAAAAAACGTACATCAGGTATAATAATTAAACAAACCGCCTAAACGTCAAGTCAGTGTAGGCTATATAATGTGTAATGTTTAGTATACTCTAATCCCTTATAGTGATGGCATACCACGAGACCCACATTCGGCATGTAATGCTGTTTGAATACAAGAAGGGAATCAACACC